CAGACCCGCAGCGACTGAAGCAGTGAGGCTTGCTCACCTGAGGAAGTCAAGGGGAAGGGATCCCTGTTTCTGAGCCAGGGGATGAGGTCACACAGACACTGGAAAATCGGGTTAAACTCCCACCCCAATACTGCGCTTTAAGGAACAGGGCACACCGGAGTCATCCACCTGGCGGAGGTCCCACCACCCCACGAGCTCCCTCATTGCTGCACCGTGCAGGTCTGTGATCTTACTGCAAGCAGGCGAAATGAGAAGGTCGCGCCGCCATGCTTGAGGCTTAGTAAGGTAAACAAGCTGCTGGGGAAAGCTTCGAATGGGTGGAGCTCACTAGCAGCTCAAGGAACTGCTGGTCTTGTTGTGTAGATCGACTCTGTGGGACGGGCACAGATAGCAACAAGCAGCAGAATCTGCAGACGCAAAACGTTGTCTGCAAGCTTTGAAGAGGCGTGGATTCCAACGGAGTTGAGACTGTGGAGAAGGGACAGGCTGCCTGCTCCAAGTGAGTCCCTGCCAGTGCTAAACTGCGGGCAACGTCTCCATAGGGGCAGTCTGAACCCACCAACCTACAGGTGGAGGTGTACGGCAGGATAGCTTAAGGTCCAGGGTATAGTTTTTGATTGAACTGGAGTCTAAGGCCTGGCTCAGCCTGTTAATCACCTTATGGCCTTAAGTGAGTTATGACCCTCCTTTAAGCCCCAGTTTTCTCACTGTAAAATCGGCATCATTACAGGACCTACCTGACAGCAACCTGAGATGATACAAATAAAGTGTTTGGCACACACTCCGGTTCAAAGAATGTTAGCTGCCACTGTTATCAGCTTTATAATCATTGTGATACGTCTGCTCTCAATGTGATTAGAGATGGTTTATAACAAAGACAGAAATACAAGAAAGATTTTTTTAAAAAGAAGTAAAAACATCCCATAGAAAACGAAGAGAATGAAAGTTAAAAACTTCATGACAACTTGTCCTGTACATTGGGGTCTGAACTTCCCTTCAGCCCAGAGCGAAAGGGGAAATGCAGAGGCTTCCTGAAAAGAGGAAGGAGGCTGGCTCTTCTGAAGAGACGGTATTATCCCTTACCCCTCAACACCACGAACCTTTGCACAAAAGCCTGTGTAAGAGGAGGAAGCCTCTGTCAGCAGGGCTCCATGTACCTGCTTCTTTAATTAATTCTCAACAAGTGCCAGGGGCAACATCCTTACATCTCAGAATTTGAGAGATGTTACACTCACTTTGGGTGCCGGATATCTGGGAGAGAGCGATTCAAGGAGATTTTGTCACTGACGTAGATGTTAAATCCATTTTCTCGGTACGCCTGATCCACTCTCTCAGCATCGGTCATGGGGTAAGGTCTTCCTTGTTCTCCATTTCCTAGAAGCAAAGAGCAAATTCGATGTTGCCAGTGATATATGGGGGTACTGTATATGGAGTGGGGAAAAAGGAGGAAAAGTATGATTAAACCACCAACATAAAACTTGACTTGGATGTACAGCATAGCTCAGATTTTGCAGTGGGAAGTACAAAGAGTAAGAGGGGAACAAGCATTTATTCAGCCACTTTGCACATCTTGTTCTCATGTAATCACAGTGGCTCTGTGGGGTGGACATGAGACCTTTCATTCCATAGAAAGATAATCTGAGACTCAGAAAGGTTATCAAATCAGGAGTATGGATTCCAAAGCCCACGTTCCCCCACTCCGTCAGGAGCTCCAAAGACCCGTGCCCTCGGAGACCAGTCACTGGACAGCTAGGCCCACCATTTGTGAGTGGATCAACCTTGGGCCAAGTCCCACCAGCTTTCAGAGCTAAAGCTTCCTCCTCTGATAACCACAGCAGACTTGGAAGAGTCAAATGAGAGTTGCCTATTAGAAAGTTTTTTGTAAACTATAAAACACCTCATAAACACGAGGAAAGATGATTACTGTAGGTAAGGCAAACTTTATAAGTAAATCAAAATTGCCATAAATGATAAAAGATGCTTTGATTTTATTTTTGTTTTTAGGCCAGCAAACAAATTAAGATCTGCCTACTCTAAACCAGGAGTGCCTGAAAAGTGTTGCTTTGAGTCATGGATTTGGGTGGGTTAAAGTGCTAGCTTTCCTCTCTCTGCACAACCCATCTGGAGAAGGAGTCTGATACTCCGGGAAATTTTTCTCTAGGTTCCCAGAGTGCATATGGTAAGAGGGAATGTCCACATCGACCCCTGCAATAGTAGCTTAAGAATCTGTCATTGACGGCTGGACACGGTGGCTCATGCCTGTAATCCCAGCACTCTGGGAGGTTGAGGCAGGCGAATCACGAGATCAGGAGATCAAGACCATCCTGGCTAACACGGTGAAACCCTGTCTCTACTAAAAATACAAAAAAAGGTAGCTGGGCGTGGTGGTAGGTGCCTGTAGTCCCAGCTACTCGGGAGGCTGAGGCAGGAGAATGGCATGAACCCAGGAGGCAGAGCTTTCAGTGAGCCGAGGTTATGCCACTGCACTCCAGCCTGGGTGACAGAGCGAGACTCTGTCTCAAAAAAAAAGATCTGTCATTGGTGAGGATCTTGAAGAAATGGCAATACAACCAGCTGGTTAAAAATCATCTTGCCTTCTAGAGCTTGTGGTTTGAGCAACACCTATTTACTCTGCAAAGTAAACATTGATAAAGTCAGATGTCCAGGAAGGTGCAAGCTGAGACGTGGAGCCCAAGAGCTCTGACTACTCCAATCCAGTCAGATAAGAAACAGGACTCCGTCATCTACAGTTTGTAATGCGTCATAAGACATCACTGATTGGACCCCAGGACAGATAACACGAGGGATCCAAACGCAGTAAGCAGGAGACCAGAAGTGTTTGCTCAGGGAGGGAAGCTTCAGGAGGGCAGTACAGGAGAGCAATTCAGAGTTCAGGCCCTGGAGCCAGATGGAGTGGAATTCCAAGGCCAGCCCTACCCGTCCCCAGCTATGTCATCTTGGGCATGCTGTCAGCCTTTCTGAGTCTGAAGATTTTGCCCTTTGTATTAATTAGAATGAGGAGGTTCAATGTGAATGATGTGATGATTAAGGAGATAATGCAGGCAAGATGCCTGGCACATAATTAGCATTCGACAGATGCTGGTTATTATTATTCTTAATGTCTCCACTGCTGGTTACTCTTGTCTTGCTGGTTAGCCCGATGTTCTAATAATTCTGGTATGTCTGGCAAATCAGCTCTTCTCAAACGTTTTCTTTCTTAATTTAAGCAGCACTGGCTGGGCATGGTGGCTCACACCTGTAATCCCAGCACTTTGGGAGGCTGAGGTGGGCAGATCACTTGAGGCCAGAGGTTTGAGACCAGCCTGGCCAACATGGTGAAACCCTGACTCTACTAAAAATACAAAAATTAGCCTGGCGTGGTGGCAAGGGTCTGTAATCCCAGCTACTTGGGAGGCTGAGGCAGGAGAATCACTTGAATCTGGGAGGTAGAGGTTGCAGTAAGCAAAGACTGCACCACTGAATTCCAGCTTGGGTGACAGAGCGAGACTCCAAAAAAAAAAAAAAAAAAAAAAAGAGAGCAGCACCCATTCCCCATTTTCTGGCATCTCTAGATTTCTCTTTTCATCAGTTAAGTTATTGTACCAGCTCTATTCAGAACCTTGTGGTAAGTTGGTTTTGTCATAATGTAATTTTAAAAAAATCAATAGTGGTGGAAGCCTTTAATGGAGATAAAAATGAATAAAATATTAATACCAATCCCTTAGATTTCTATAGTGCTTTCTAGTATTGCAAAGCTACTACATATTCATTGCTTTATTTGGCACCTCACAATAACATCCTGAGGTTGTCAAAGCAGGAAGCATGAGTTCCACGGACAGATGGAAAAACTGAGGCTCTGGGAGTATGGACTTTAACTGCTGATTAGATGGCTGTAAGTGGCATCAGAGCTGCTCTCCTGACTCCTTAGTCTAGGCTCCCTAGAGTTGATTCTCCATATAATTTCTGTACCACCTTACCCCAACCCTTCCCAACTCGCCAGTGTAAACGGAACTGCTCCCAAGACTAATTAGCCACAGAAAACTTTAGCTGAAGCCCTCTAAGTTGACTCAGTCTCATGGCTGCAGTGTCAGGTAGGAATCAACTCTGCCCTCCCTCCAGACCTGGGTTCAAATTCCAAGTCTCCTCTTTCTTTCTGTGCAACAGTGGGCAGATTATCACCCCTCTTAGAGCCACAGGCCCCTTCTTATTAAATGGGACATAAAGGTTGATCCGAGGTTTCACAGAAGAAATTTCCAAGTACAGAGCATGGATCTTCCTCACAACAGGTGTTCAATAAATGTTGGCTCTTGTTATTACTGCTCCTTGTTTTAGTTGTAATCCCATAAGGGAGAGACATTTCTATCCTATGAAAATAAAACACAAAATATCCTGTATGAGGGAGACATTTTCTATCACCCAATAAAGGTGGCAGGCAAATTCTTGCAGGCAGCGGATCTGGTGATGGGAGTGGAAAAAGGGGTCAGCTAACCAGCGAAGAGGGGCATCTGGGAATCAGGGGAAGGGATAGTGGCTGACGGGGAGGGAGCCAACAGGAGGTCCAGACACCCCTACTAAACACACACATGAACACACACACACACACGTAAGCATATGTGCATATGCCCTTCACAGAGCCCACCCATGGCCAATCCTGCCCTCCATACCTACGCGCTGAGCGTCCCTCCGGATGGCCTCCTTGTCATGCCAGTCCTTCAGCTTCTGTCCATCTCCCAAGAAAAACGTCTTCTTTTGTCGACTGTGTGAGCCCTTAAAAAAAGACAAAAACTATGAAAAATAGAAAAGGGCAAATAAGTTCAGTAACACAGGCCCAGAAGTTACACTGCCTAAGCGAGCTTTTTATTGACCAAATGCCTGTCATCTTGTGTTCCTTTATCCACTCCCTCAGCATACCTTTGTTGGTGCCTTGCCATGTGCCAGCCAGGTATGCAAAGGTCAGCAAGATGACAGGAACGCAGTGTCTACCTTTCGGGAACTCACAAATCGGTGGTGGAGAAAAAAGATGATCGCATTCTTTCCACCCACGGGAGAAAGTGCGCAGTGTGGTGACACCCAACAGAAATATAACATGAGTCACATATGTAACTTGAAATTTTCCAGTATCCACATTTAAAAAAGGAGGTGAAGTTGTTTTAATAATGTACTCTACCTAAAATATTACCACTCCAACATGCAATCAATGCAGTACACTGATTAAGGTATTTTACATTTTTTGGTGGGGCAGTGAGGGGTGGGAGACAAGGTCTCACTCTGTTGGCCAGGCTAGAGTGCAGTAGCACCATGACGGCTCACTGCAGCCTCAAACTCCTGGGCTCAAACGATTCTCCATCCTCAACCTCCTGAGTAGCTGGGACTACAGGTACGTGCTCCCATACCAGTTAATTACTTTTTGTAGCGATGGGGTCACCCTATGTTACCCCAGGCTGTTCTTGAACTCCTGGGCTCAAGCTGTCCTCCCACCTCAGCCTCCCAAAGTGCTGGGATTACAGGCATGAGCCACCATGTCCGACCTACATTCTTTTTCTTTCTACTGCCTTTGAAATCCAGTGTGTATTTTACACTTGTGGCCATCCCGATTCAGACTCATTTCAAGTGCTCAACAGTTTCATGTGGCTAATCGCTACATATTGGATAGGGGAGGGGCTCAGAGAATGCACTACATGAGTTCAGTTCCACTGGGGAGAAATGGAGAATGTTTCATGGAGCTGAGTGCATTTGGGCTGGGTCTCAGACAGGTTGACAGGAGAGGCAGGCAAGACAAACAACCTGGGCACTGACTTGTGACGTTTGGGTGGAGAATGGCAAAGCTGTGTGTGGCCCAAGGAGAAGGAGTGCTGTAAGCAAGAGCAGAAGGCAGGTCTTGGTCATCTCTGTGGTCCTGAGGGCCCAGCCCCAAAGAGAATAAATGTGTGGCAAATGGGCGTGGACTGTATGAAGAAGCAATTGAATGGCTGAAAGGAGAAGAAGAAAAAAATATATATATATACACATATATACATATATATACACACAAACACATATATATATATATATATTTATGGCAGCCCCAAGAGAGCAGCCCCCACGGCCTGGGCTCTGACAGCATTTATCATTTACCTGGGGAGGTGAGCCCATCCTCATGGACTCAATACTTCCCATTAGGAAGTAGTTTCCCTAATTAAAGGAGGCTGCATTCCAGTGACTGGGGTCAGCAGAAGGAACTTGATACTTTCTCAAGCCAACAGTGAAGTCAAAGGCCTCCAGGCCCAGAGCCTTCCCCAGGCAATGCTGCACCACACAGCTACTTACATATATTCCATGTTCATGTAAATGCTTTCTGAATCACCTTGCCCATTACAAATCTTGCAGACTTGTTCTTGCCACTGTGGCAGGCAGAATCCAATAGTCCACTTTCCGATATAATTAACTTCAAAGGCCCTGATGTGTGGTGTGCTGGACATTACTGCGAACAAGAAGCCCCCTGAATAAAATCATCCCTGCGCTTGTTTATTAAGCCTCTGGTTGATCCTTGTGTTAGCAGGCTTTCCACAGTGGCTCAACATCTTTATAACAGCTCTAGTAATAATAACGAGCCTTTGTATTCTCTCTCCTATAGACCTCTCTGAATTGCAAGAAGATAATTCTGAAACTTGGTGTGTTAGATGTCTTGGTTAGAGAGGGGAAAAAAAAACTATAAAAACTAAGGCCACATGCTTTCAACAGTTCTCAGGGTTCTTAGAAATCACAGAAGCTGAGCTGGAAAGTTCTTACGGAACCATTGAATCAGTTCAGGATACAGTTCCACAGGAGGCGCCCCCGGCACTGCCTTGGGAAGAGGAAGGCTGAGAGTAGGGGCTTGCTCTGCCTGCTCTTCAATCAGAGCAACAACACATCTGTTTTATGTACTGGGGTTCCATGTGGGATTTCATGTGAAGACAGTTCTTCTGCTAAAAATAAATAGATACCAAATTTCCTACACAAGTAAACAAATATATTTGGAAGCTGAGCTAGGACCACTTCCCCATACCACAGACAGAGAAACCAAGCCTTGGGGTAGGCCAGGAACCTGCCCAAGGTAATATTCTGCTTCTGTGATGTCAGGGTTGATCAGTTAGGGGCTAGTTAGCTCTCCTTTCTCCAGCCCTCCCTCCCAATCTCTTTTTCCTCTGCTGCTGCCCACAGATTGGAAACTTTGGTTGATTACTTCAGCCCACTGGTAGGACTAGAGGCTCTGCACACTGAGGCTCCCTTAATGGAAGGCACAAAACTAAAGCCATGGTGCTCAAAAGGTTGTATCTGAAGGGGACAGGATGGGCACCACCTGGGAACTTGCCAGAAATGCAAATTTCCAGGGTCCTACCCTAGACCTCTAGAAGCAGAAGCTCTGGGGGTGGGGCCCAGCAATCCATGTTTTAGCAAGTCCGCGAAGAGATTTGATACACGCTGAGGTTTGAGAACCACTGGTCTACAGCGAAGCAGACGATAATCCTACCTGATCTGTGTTGGTCACATCAAGTTGAGCAGATAATTATAGAAGGCTGCAAAACCCTGAGGCCTATGGGCCAAATGTGGTCACTAGCAAACAACCTGGTGGCTTTCAAGGTGCTTTTTGTTTTGGTTTGGTTTTCTTAATTCTAGTGTGAAAACAGGGAGATTTCATATTGTTTTATCAAGATTTTTGGCTTCTCCTGAAAACCTAAAAGACATGCCAGTACTGGGCTGACTTCCTTCAGCTCATCAGCTGGGCTGTGTGGATGGGGAACGTCTCCCCAGTTTGCCACAGTCCCTACCATTCCTTATCGCATTTCACCTGCCTCCTGTCTCTCATTTTTGTTACCTGCCTGGCCCTGATAAGCTTGAAACATGCTGGGATATTCAGGAATGTATCCTGGTTGGGGAAGATTAGAAACTATGAGGACTAGGAGATAAGAAGTCCTGGAGGACATGGGAGATGTTATTTTGTTCTATGAAGTCCTAAGACTACACTGACGACCAATGGTAGACGTTACTGAATGACTGAGGGGACTCAGACAGAGAAGAAATTCCAAAAGTTGGGTTGCTGCTAGGATGAAACAAGACCATTTGGAAGAAGATATTAGAAGTGGCCAGGAATAGAAAGACCGAGTGTCCATCAGGATGTGAAGGAGAAGAATCAACTGCAGGGTTGGGACTAGTGCTTCTCAAATTTTAATGTGCAGGAGAATCATGTGGGGATCTTGCTAATACTGATTCTGGTACAGTAGGTCTGGGGTGGGGCCTGAGAGTCTGCATTTCTAACAAGAACCCGGGTGATGCTGACGCTGCTGGGCCACAAAAGACACTTTGAGTAGCAAGGGTTAGACAACTTTAAAGGGCACTTCAAGAGTCTAAGATTGCATGAAGGGTACTATTTCCTCTACAAGCCTGTGAATGTCTTCCAGTGCCACTGGGAATAGGGTATGGGGATAAATCTCACTGTTTTGACCTCAAAGAAGTAAACCCCTAGAATCTTGTTCTCAAAACAAAACACTGGATTGCTGACCTGATGGCATTGAGAATTAAGGTTCCAAAATCCTGGGAGTTTCATACCTAACTCCACTGCCTTTGCCTTATGATGCACACTGCTCCCTCTATCCCTCCCTCCCAGGGTCTGCAGAGATGAACTATGCTGTTTTAGGTCTCATTGGTCCTTATATCTTCCCTAAACCAGGAGGACTTTGGAGCCTGCTGACACAAGGAGTTCTACATGTCTAAGCACGCAGCTGCTAGAGTCCTCAGCCATCTGAGCTAGGTAACTGCTCAGAGACAATTAGTCTACCTCCGCTCATCTTACAGATAAAGGAACTGAAGTCCAAACAAGCCAAGCTACCCAACCAAGGCCTCACAGCAGGCAAGAGAATAAAAACCATGTCCTTTGACTCCCAGGCTAGTTTTTAGTGGAAAAGAACTCTTGACTATGACCTTGCACAAGCTACAGGAGTCACTGGTACCTCAATTTTCCCACCTGGAAAATGGAGTCAGCACTACCTCCCCAAAAGGTACTTTCAGATGAACTGAGACAATCAGAAACAGTATAGCCTGAGCACTCTCCTAATTTACACATGGATTGAGGACACTGACTCCTTAAGGATTTTAAGAATCTACTGTAAATTGACATCTCACCAAATCATGTAGATATAGAACTCAAATGTTATTGTATAGGTTAAAAAGTATTCCAGTTATAGGTCTGGACCTTCAGTAGGGTGGAAAACTAGTTTCAGTCTTAAAATTATAGAGTTGGTCAGGGGTGGTGGCTCACGCCTGTAATCCCAATACTTTGGAAGGCTGAAGTGGGCGGATCACTTGAGGTCAGTTCGAGACCAGCCTGGCCAACATGGTGAAACTGTGTCTCTACTAAAAAAAAAAAAAAAAAAAAAAAAAAAAATTAGCTGAGTGTTGTGGCACACACCTGTAATCCCAGCTACTTGGGAGGCTGAGGCAGGAGAACCACTTGAACCCAGAAAGCAGAGGTTGTGGTGAGCTGCAATTGTGCCACTATACTCCAGCCTAGGCAACGGAGTGAGACTCCGTCTCAATAAATAAATAAATTACAGAGTACATGGAGCCCAAAGGGCCCTAAGAATCCTATCCAAAAACCTTAACAGAAATTGTGGTCAATTTCAGGTGGTTTAGGAGCCCCTGAGGACTCCTAATTTCTGGAGGTAGTGCAGATTAAGAAACCCCAGATCATCTGAACTATCACCAAATGTTTACTGACACCTACTCTGTACAAAGCAGTGTGTCAGGCACCA